TGGCGGTATCTGTTGATTATTTCGTCTAGTTTATTCTTAAATCTTTTTGGATTATCAATATTATATTAAATGAATGTAATATTAAATATGTCAGTGTACCATTTGTAAATTGTTAATGATCAGTTTAATATTCGTGAGTTAACAAATTTCTATCAATGTTGTGGAAAATGGTGAACTAACCTCAAAGCTTGTTTATTCCTTCATATATTTTTATCTGTCTTTTTCTCTCTTTCTCTTTTTCTTTCTCTATCTTTTTCTTTTCTTTTCTCCTTCTCTTTCTATTGTATATATTCTACTCCAAATAATCCAAAACTGCAAATATATTTTAATCCATAACAATAAGTGTAGAAAAAAGATTTAAAAAATTACTAGTGAAATAACGGTGATTAACAGTGAATTAAGGGGTTTTATTAATATTTGATCAAAATAATTCAAATATTTATCTATGGAATATAATAAATCAATTGATAAATTAATAATACAAAAGCTATGTGAACTCTTTGACGGTGTATGGAACTTCTGCGTGGTTATTAATTACTGCTAATGGAAGAAAGAGGATAATGAGTGATTCGGATGATACCGATGTCCTACTCCTGATCCCACCTGATCTCTTCCTCGTACCATCCTCCTCTGATTCCGACATTAGTAGAAGGAGTTATGATAAATTAGATCGCTCTTGTGGAAGAAGAGGAGTTATATCAGAACTAGTCGGTCATATGCAATCTTTAGAAAATAGGATTTCTGCTATTGAGTCTAAAGAAAACAGTTTGGATATATCCATATTGGAAAATTCTTTGGATTCTCAAACTCAAGACAACGGACGCTTTTATCATAAGCAATCAAGCAGAAGCAACTTTTCTGTAAGTCAACCGTCCAGTTTGCAGACTAGTCCTGTGAAACCTCGCAAGTCCTTCTCAGTTCCTTCTACACCCACTAGGTATGTATCATCCAATCGTACTAACTCAAAGCAGAATGATGTGAGATCGAGTCATAATACTCTGGAAACTAATAATACTAACTCTGTTAATACTAACGCATGTGATCATGAAAAGCATGAAAGTTTAGAATCTCATACGGACTCTGTCTTGGTACCATTTGTTTTTCATCATCTTGGAATCCCGCATGTTGTTGCTGGTACCTCGGTAACAAGGGAATTGTGTTCTGTTTCAAATGATAACCACGGTGCAAATAATATGTACAATAAAGCTTGCGATAAATCATATTTAGTACCATCTACCTTGCTTAATACAATAGGACAGCATAAAGTGGATTGTAAAAAGATAAAAAACATGGAGATTTCCGAAGTGGATGAACTTATTCAAGAAATGGAAGCTACCGATTTGGAATTATCTAAAAGAATAAATGGTGCTACTTCATATCAATGTAATCAGAAAAAGGTGGAGTCATTTCTTCAAAAACAACCTAGTCAAGGCATCAAAGAAACTGAATCTATTTCCAAAAATCAAGGAATTCATACGTATACTGATTTATCGTTAACTACCCGTCCAACTAGTTTGTTTCAATTAGATGAGGCCGATAAATTAATATCAAATTTTAAACAATGGGAAGAAAGAGTCCGTCAATCTGTTGCTGATAAGAGTCATACTGTTCAGAATATGGAAGATAAAACTACTAATAATACAGAACAATTACATAGTAAGAAAAGTTCTGATTACATCACATTTATGCCGGAGCCAAATCAAACTAAATTCAAGAAAAACGAGATAGGTAGTAGTAATACAAAGGAAGTACAAAAGAATGTAACAAGCATCTTAGAAAGTTCTGAAGGACTACATAGTGGTAACGGGCAGAATAAACATACAGTAGTTCCTGAAGTTACAGAAACTAGATCTGAACTTTTAACAAATATTTGTACAAAACCACTTTATTCCAGTAGCTTACAAGATATAGTCAAAGACACAGAATCTTCCTTAAGGTATACTTTTAAATATAGAGATTAGTCTTGCATTATTTTTTATTTAATAACAAAAAGGAAAATAATTAACAAAATTGATAATTTTTGTTCTCTGCAAGGCCACAAAAATTATTATCTTTATCAGACTTTTGGGATACCAATACTAACAAATCTCAAGGAGAAATGATTAGAATTAAATTAGAAGAAGAAAAATTTCGAAGAGAAGTATGATCCAAATTTACAGATTCCAATTTCGATTTTAAATTCATATTTTTAAACAATAATTTTTATTTTAGCATTGCGAGATATTAATTCAGGAACTTCAAAAACGTTTATTGGAACATCAAGAAAAACTCGCGGTTGCTGTTAGGGTAGATTACGAAAAAGATTTATTAATTGCACAATTTAACAATGCATGGACGAAATTAAAGCAACGCGTTAAGATATTAGAAAAAGAACACGAAGATTTAGAAAAAAATCTTACAAATATTAACGAGAAGCATCAATCCGAGATAAACGAATTTCAATCACAAATAAAACGTTTTGAGAACGAATTGTCTAAAGCATTGGATCTCGCGGCTGGTTATAAAGAAAAAAGCGATAGTTTGATGAAAGAAAAAATCGACATGTTAAAGTTACATGCTGATGAAATAGAAAATTCTAAGACCTTGATTCAAGCTGCAGAAAATAGAAATCAACAAATTAAATTAGAATACAACAAATTAAAAGAAACGAATCAACAAAGTGAAGAAAGTTTAAGGAACGTTCAACAGGAATTAAATAGAGAACGTTTACGAAGTAACGAAGTTAAAAATGAAATGAGCGTAATACATAAAGCATTGGATACTTGTGAAGCAGAATTAACAGTACTTAAACAAGAAAAGGAAAATTTACAACTTAAGATAAAAGAAGAAATTAATAGAAATAATATTTTAGAACAGAAAAACATATTTTTACTTAATTCTTTGGATGATGCAAAAAAAAGCGAAGTACAGTATCAATAAAAGTAATATAAAATAATACAAGGTATCCTAAAAATCGTTTTATAAAGAAAAAGCAAAATATTAGATAAAAGTAGCTGATTAATAGCTTTTACTATAGAAATAATGGGGACCATTTGATTATTTTTAATAAACATTACTTCCACAAGAACTTATTTTAAGCATATGAGGTTGAGACATATTCAACATTCATCACTAATAATAAAAACAAAAGTAGGATCCACAAATTATAATTAAACGTTCAGACCTTGTCTTTTCTCTTTACTTTCTTCATATATTGTCTTTTTTAAATATTTATATTATTTTTATCACAAAATCAATATTGCAATATATTGTTTTTCATTTCAAGATATTAATTTCTAATTACAACGTTGCTAAAAAAAAATATTGGCTCGAGATGTCTCTAAACACTCTAAATACCTAAAAGGAAAGATTTCTTTTATTTCAGTTCAATAAAGCGATTTTTAGATCACCATGTATTACTTTATATACAATGCCCAATAATTTGATTCAATTGTATTTATTATTTATTCAGAGATTGGCAAAGGAAGAAAAAAAATCTTTGGAGGAACAACAGATTAAAATGAGCAGCGAGTTACAAGAGGTATATCAAAAGAAACTCGACGAAGTTGTAAAATCTAAGTTGCAGGAGTTTCAAACTCAATTAGATTCGGCGGAATTAGAATTCGTTGAGGAATTGAAATCAAGGCAACAAGTTATAGCCGAATGCGCGGCAAGAAAAATTAAAGAAATTATGAATAAGTAGGTGAACAAAAACTTTCATTAGTTCAAAAAATAACAAAATTCTATATACTATAAAATAAATAATTGTAGTTAGAACGATTAATAATAATCGAAATATTTGTTTGTTCCAACAAATAATCGTATATAGGCATCAATTAGAAATAAATTTATTAGAAGAAAAACACAAAGAAGAAAAACGGCTGTTCGAGTTGCAATTGGCCCAAGCTACGCAAAAGTCATCATTATTAGAAATGCATTTGAATTCGCAACGTGCTAATAAATCACAATTGGCGGAACAATTGCATTCGGTAATGCAAAAACAATGGCAACAGGCGTTACATATAATATCAGGTATTGTCATCGATCGATAACGTTTACCATTCGTGCATTTTAATTTTTTTTTTTATTTCATAAAACATTTCATATAATTTTTCTTTTTATTTTTTGGTCATTTTCATAATTTTTCATAATCACATTATAGGTGGTAATATTGAGAATCAGTTTCCGTTAGAAAGAATAACGGGGGAGAAATTTTTTGAAAACAAAATGCCGAGTGAAACATCGTCAAATTGTCAAATGAAACTTTCGCAGGAACCGTCGATGATACCGACAACGATGTCGTCTTCGTCGTCCTCTAAAAAGCAGACTTTTCAGAATGAGCATAATCGTAATGAAAATTTAATCGATACTCCATTATCAAATAAAATGGAATCGAAAGAAGATCTTCGTAAATATATCAAACTCGTAAGAACAATGAAAATAAATTGATGAAAATAAAAAAAAGAATTGTTCATAATCATGTTTATTACAACATTTATTTCATAGATCGCCGAAATGCAAGAACCTAAACAAGAGTATAGTTTTTTCGAACATACTATGTCCTGTTCTCCTACAGTTTATAGAGAAGTACCACGAAAGCACTATACTAAAAAAGAATTAAGTATTACGAACGAAGATAGTATTTTATTGCAGGCTACCTCGGAGGTTTGTTTTATTTTTTTTTCTTCTTCTAATGAATCGATTCATTAAAAATTGATTCATTCGTATTTAAAAAAGAGAACAAAATTGCAAAATTTTATTACAGAGTTCGGCACATGATTGCAGCGAATATATACCTGTACCTCAAAAGTTCAGCAGTAAAACTGATCAACAAAGAAATAAACCACCGTGGAAATGATGTTCGGTTCACGAACATGTAAATGATAATTCGGGTATAGATGAAGTTGATATTGTACGAAAATATCGTTTCGGTTCAGTACAATTTTCTAGCAATAATGAAACAAATTGAGATATTCAATATTTTATTTTAAAAAAAATTTTTATTAATTTTTTTTTGTTTTTTTTTTTTTTGTTTTTACTATTTTCTTTTATGAACATTCCAACATACTTAATCGAAAGTATTTAATACAGTATTTTTTTACCACAATTAACCATTTCATTTAACTTTAACTCATTAATCCTCTTTACGTATAATATAAGTTTCATCGCAAATTAATACTACCGACAACATAATTACGTTGCTATGTCTGAAGCAGAGGAAAAGGATGTACGATTAGACAAACGTGGCTCATTGATAATGAAACAATTTATCTCCTGAGTTTCGTAAGCTGAACAGAGTTTATTTTCATTTTATTGAACGAGTTTGAAATTTCTTTTTTTCTCTCTATAACCTAATTTGCTTTTGTACCTGAAAAAGAAAATAATTAAATATGAAACTTTTATATTTAATATAGTATTTAATATAATAATACGTATATATTAATCATTAATTAAAAATATTGGTATACTGCATGGCATATTTATATTTAATAAATAATATTTATACTATATTGATGTTACGTATACTGAGTGTCGCAGTATTTTTTCACAAAATTTTATTAACATATTTGTTTAATTAAATATTTAAGAGAGCCCATATTTGTATAAAATCTTGTTCTTATTTTTACTTGTAGAATGTGTTGGTAAAAAAACCTAAAAAATTCTGTATATAAAATATTGTAAAGTTATATGATATTATAGAGGGTTAAATATTAATTAAACATTTTTTTTTATTGGTAAATCTAATTCAAAATCCAACTAAATGCATTTACGAATATAGGAAATTCATTATTTATGAATGAGATTTATTTTAAATGAGACATCGTAGTAAAATATTTGTTTCGATATTCGTGATCCTTCTCTATTATAGAATCTGTACGATATGAACTAAAGTCGGTCATAAACTCCAGATTATTATGTTTCGTAGTTCACCATGATTATTCCAAAACTGTTATTGAATTGCAATAGGTTGGTAATGTCTCGTGAATAGTAATAGTTCGTCAGAATCAACGTTACGCATCAAAATAGTATCGTGAATCGTTTCGAAGGTGAGACATTACTATTTGTCTTGAAGAGCTCTAACTTCTTGCCAACTTCGAGGAGTAAAGAACGTTTAAGCGATTAGAGACTTGGTGAAAGATGAGTAAATGTACGGAGACGAGAGAAGAACGAAAATGTCTTGGAGGAAGAGAGAAGAGACTCACAAAGGAAAGAAGATGTAAATCCGAGTTAAAGGTATGAATAGATTCATTTATTTTATTTTTTATACTATTAATATAAATGTTTTAACATTATTATTAAAGGAGTTTAATTAATAATTAGTTATTCATTAATTATTAAATGTTATATTAATTATTTGTGATTTGAATAATGAAGTAAATCGTTAATATCATATTATTAATCTAATTATCTTTATTTGGACTAATTATCATAAGCAAAGATTAGTTAAAAGAAACATTTTACACACAGATGATTATTAAAAATAACTATAATTATCTTATCCGAAAAACAAATTAATTCAAACTCTAATTATTCAAAAAATCTGATTACAGATAAAGACTAATTTATACCAAGTATTTTACATAGATACTTGTATAAATGTAATTATAATTATCTCATATCAGAGAAAAATTAAATAAATCATAATTCTGTTATATATTTTAAAATACTCGAACAAATCTAATTATAGTAGATAATTCATATAACAACTTATATAATAATAATAAATCAACAAATAGCTTACGCAGATAAATATCAAACATAATTATAATTCAAAAATCTGAGTAAACCATGATATATACTTTTAATTATCAAAAAAAAAAAAAATCTAATAAATATAAATACTACTATAATCATCTGTTATTCCATCATAACTCATTATGTCCCAACACATTTTCATCAAAAAAAAAAAAAAAAAACTGTTTACAAATAATCGAATTTTTTAGATAAAGTAAAACGGACTATATTGGAGCAACCACAAGCAAAAAAATCTACAATGATGGCAACTTCGATTAAAGGATATATTATGCCTATGGAAAATCCTACTACAAGTTGGCGCCGGTTATGAGAATCTTATGCACTATGTGGAGAACAAGTTGCCGATTGAAAACGAAAGAGAAGGAAGAATGCAAAGGGAGGAACGTGATAGTGACCTATCCCTCCTGTCCCCCTCATCCTCCTCCCTCTTTTATTTTTTCTCTCTCTCTCTCTCTCTTTCTCTCTATTTCTCTTTCTCTTTCTCTCTGTGGCGCCTCACAGAGATAGTAGGTATATAGTAGTCATGAGCTCGTTCGTTCTTCACGCTCGCTTCGTGGCCTTTTAGTCGAGTACTTGTCGGCGAGTTTCGTTCCACGAAGACACGAATATACTGACAAACCAAACGACAGTTTCTATTCCTCGTGTGCGTGTCTTTTTCTTTTTCTTTTTTTCTTTTCTTTCTCTCTTATCGTGACTCTCATCGTGACTCTCTCGTGGCACGAACTCGAACGCGTGAGTCCACGAGAGTAGTAGAATGCATCGCGTTGGAATAAAACGTTTCAAGTTCCTCGATTATTCTTTGATCGTTCTCTCATTGTTATTGTTCGTTTCTTTGATCGGTGATAGCACTGGGATCGGCTGGAAAAGACGAGAGGACAAAACGAAATGTCCAAGAGTCAAGGGAATAAGAAACTTTGACATATCAGAGGTAACAATAACTTACAAGGATCTTATCGTCCTTTTTATTTAATATTTTTTTCTCATTTTTTTTTTCATTAGATTAGACTGAACCTTTTTTTCTAATTTATTATTATTTTTAATGTAGAATAGATTTGTTTCTCACTAAATCGGTAAGAACTTTTACAAAAGAAGAAGCCTATATTTGTTTCTATACTTTTAATTATATTTAAATAGAAAAACTATTTATTTATTTTTTTTTTTTCATTGTATGTAATACGCGTTTATCCGAATTGAAATAATTTTAAATAAAAGTAATAATAGTAATGTGTATAATATAGGGAAAGAGAGAAGATATATAAAAAAGAAAAGAATTCATTTCTCACCCCATAATTTAGTTGAATCTGACTTGCAATCGTTTTTAATGGAAACGTTCGCTCGTTCGTTCGTTCATTTGTTCGTTCTTTGTCTATTGACGTATGATAAAATCCATTCATTTATTAGCCGCTAATATTGCAGCTTTCCGGATTGACGATGAACGGTAATTTAGCATCGAACAGTCAGCAGAGTAAATAGCATTCTGTAACACGCCGATTCAAATTGCAATTTAATTGTCCCGGCACTTCGATTTTCCGCGATATTGAAAACGATGTTTTCTCGATCGTTCCAAACTTGTGCCAAAAAACTGACACAGATAATAATTTTCTTTTCGACATGGAACAAATTGATATACACGTTGTTACATTTTTTGGACAATTTTTATTACGCTAACAATAATATTTTATGAAAGAAATGTCATATCTTTTTCTCTTTCTCTTTCTCTTTCTCTTTCTCTTTCTCTTTCTCTCTCTCTCTCTCTCTCTCTCTCTATCTTTAAACAGAATTTTTAGCAAATTTATTTATAGATTGTCGCGTAGTATACGGTGGAAAGCAGTTTCTACTATAATGCATGAATTTTCTTCTAATTTATAATTACGATTTTAATTTTTATATTAAATTTTTTTGAGTATTCATAAGTATTGATTTTTTTTAATAAAGTATAATAAATACTATATAAATATATTATATTATAATAATTTACCTAATAATCTATCCAATATAAATAAATTATATATTAGATTAAAACAAATATATTTTATAACACAAATAATATAGACATTTGCAAGATATGTTATTGTAGATTGTTTTATTTTAATTACAATGCCCATTAAACATATTCTTGTTTTAAATTCGTTTGAATTTTCATTGTAACTAATTGCGAGATATATACTTGTAGTTCGATCGAGACTTTAAATGACTAATTTGATTACGAGCTCGCAATTATCGCATCCGGATCTGAATTATCTTCCGTGAGGTCAACGAGATAACCATTGTACTGAACTCAATGATCCTTGATAGTATAGGAATTTGATGTTATTTTCGAACTGTTTTCTTGACCCATTCTAAAAGTATTCGCAACGAAAAGTAGTTTGTCCGAATGACTACTTGGAAGTACGGTTCAAGTATGAACAACTAAGACTATCATGGTTCAACTAAAAATAACATCTTCACGCTAGAAATTCGTAAATATTACGTCATTTTATGAAAATATAAAGTAGTTCAAAAAATTATATCGTTTTTTTTTTTCATTATAATGAAAAATACAAGAAAATTTATTCATATTTTAAATTCAAGTCATATTTTAAGTGATACTGAACGGTTGAATTTGATAAATGCAATTTCTCAGTTATTTTTCGCCTGGTTATTCGAAAATGAGCGTTCACCAGTGCTTTTATTTTACCATCATCCCCTTCAACTGGGCGACCTAAATGTACATCTTTCTACATTGAAATTATCAAAAAGAAATTTCAATAAGCAATTTTGATATTGGTATTCACTTTACATATCTTCCCCGTAAATGACATTTTTTCTCTGCAAACTATTCTAATTGATTAAAAACCTTTACTTTTGATTTTTTTTTTTTGAAATAACATATATAGGCCGTAAAAGTTGTTGTCATTTAGTGGTGTTAAGCCTAATTTTTAAGAAAATTAAAAAATTAGGATCAATCAAATGTTTTGATAATGTTCCATATATCACTTTTGTATAAAAATTATTATTAAAAAGTAACAGTCGAGATTATTATTAAAAATAAATCGTATTGCTAACACACTGCTATTATTAAAAATTAGTAATTGATTATAATGAAAAATGATATGATTGAATTAAGAAAAATAATTATATTATTATAGTTTCTTGGATCATGGTACATAGTACAATATTATGCTAGTTCCGAGGAAGCACTAATTTATAGATGCATGAGAGCCGAATTATCCGTGTCATCGGAAAGTGCAGAGGTTACTATGAATTTCACGTACAGTTTTACTGATGATCCGATCAATGAACAACTCGTTGGTAATATCACATGGAAAATTCCTTCACCGGAGTTTCCAGCACATTGGGTTCATGCGGAATTTCCCTGTGAGTTTCGAATGCCTTTTTGTTCCTTCCATTAACGTGCGAATGTCATTGAATAATTCATATTTTCTGCGTAATACATTTTGATTGAGTCACTCTTTTAGATGAAGAAATATATAACACATATATATTGGATTCGGATTACAAAACGTGGGCTTTACTGATGCACTGTGCCGAAAAAAATAAAAGTCCACGTTATTTGTCTAGTTTTATTATGAGTAGACAACCTAGTTTAGGAGTTAATGTTGTTTCTTATCTACGTGAAAAATTACCAAAGTAAGTAGGCTTCTACATTTTATTTGTTTTTAATTCTTTTTTGCAAAATTTGCACTATTGTCAAATTATATTTCTTTTGGTTTTCTTAATTGTTAATTATAATCCAGTAATTATGATAGTAAAGTAAATCGAAAAAATGATTTTTTATGATTTATCAAACATAAAAATTATTTAATTTATATTATAAAATAAATTATTAAGTAAACTTTTCTATTTTTTGGTCTATTATCATAATTACGAACAAAATTGTGCTATATATTATATTGTATGATATTAATAGAAATAATTATTTAATTAAAGATAAATATTTCTTTTTATGAATAAACACATATGTCGTTTTTTGATTTAATAAAAATATATACATTGTGTTAACAGATACGATATAGATTTGGAGTATATGTTTCCTATGGAACAAAAACAATGCAATCAAACGGATGTACCACCATACAGTATATCTTTCGTTCCAATAACGACGGACAAGAAAATTAATTCTAACAGAAGACATTTATTCAAACGAAAACACAAACGATTTTAAAATACGATTAAATAATTCATTATGTTCATACGTACGTATGTATGTATGTAGGTATATCTCGTAATATTTCAATTACAACGATGTCGATACTTAAACTTAATATTATTAAATCAATTCTTATGTTCGCGAATAATGCTCATTAATTCTTTTTTCTATTTATAATAATATAATAATTTTAATAAAACATTATTTTTTCTAGATGCAACATAGTTTTCGTCGAAATTTTATAATTAAATATAGATATTTTTTATTATTAAACATTCTTTTTATTTAACAAAAAATGAGAATAATTTAATAATTTTTCTTTAAATATTATAGATTTTTTAAAATATTTATATTACTAATTTTAATTTATTTCATTGTTCTTGTGTCATATATAATTCAATGATATTTTATGGTAGGTATTTATAATAAGTAGGTAGTAACATATATATTTAAAAGAAATAAATGAAAAAAGTATAGAATGTACATCATTTATGGAAACAATGAACATTTTATTAATAATTAACATTCCTAAATATGCTTCGTTAGTTTATGCTAGATATTAATTTTTCTTGTACTTCTAAAATATTCATTTGATATAATATGTATAATATTAATTAATTTGTATAAAAATTCTAGTAATATGTCTATTGGATCAAGGTAATATTTTGATTACTATTATATAGTTATTAAAAATTGGAAGAGTGCATTGTCTCAATAATATATTTTTTATAATTTATTTATGTGTATATATATGTTTTATATGGAAGTCTGTAACATATGAAGTTTTGTATACTGTACTTGTCAAATATAGTATAGTCTGTTTAAAGAATAGTCGCCTTAGTTGTCATCGATGGTAGAATTTTGGCTTGGGCTTTGTGCAGTTTGAGAATTTTTTCTAGTTCCTGATCATTTTCTTTTCTTTATGATCTTTTTTCGATTAACAATAAGTTATAGGCTATTTTTCTATTATGATACCCCATGCAAAGCATCCTAATAGTTTTACCTAAATTATGAATTCAACATATATTGATACAAGGTCAAAATGTTTCTTTTTGCATTTGCTTAATGCTGGATATCATTTATTGCTACTGTAATAAGTTGTAATTGAACTCAGTATTATTTATCATCAAACTACCATAGAAGTATCATGAAAGTCATACTAAACGTTAAAGATTGAAGATCAAATAACACATGGTCTTAACAGATCTTCTGAGGTTACTGTAACTCTGCAATCCCAATTAGATCAAATTAATTCGTAACTTGGATTAAAACAACAATTCTTAGGATAGTTAAAGTTTTAAAGTATAAAGAAATATCTGGTATTTTTTTAGACTACTGATATATTTCTGCTTCCTGTATAACATAGATTTTCTCAAAATATTTTCAAATTTCTGAATAATCTTCTAAAACAATGTCATGAAACTTAAATCATACAAATGAGTCGAATTTCTTACTTAATAAATTTATTGTTAATAAACACTTATCAGTCTTATCTTTAATGCTGATTTTCATTTTCTATCTTTGGATAGTATCAGAAAGTATCTTGTATAATGCAATTGTGTTCAAATGCTTACGTAGCATTTTTCGCACAACAGCTTGTGGATCGAAGTTCTCATATATTTTATGGCTTCCTTTATGACTTTTAGAACTTTTAGGTCATTAGTTATACTCTTATCATCTAGAATATTCTGCAAACTGCTAGCCTTGTGATTTTTTAACTTCAGTTAATTTGCATAAAATGTCACCTCAACTTTCATCAAATTATTTTCGGAATCCATTTAATAAAACATAACATATTAAAAAGGCACACGCAAAATTTGCGAGTATATATTGCTTTTTTTTCTTCAATGGAATGTACATCGATAAATGAAATGATAATATAATCAAATTTAATCGTATGATTGTCAAAGATGCAACTTAAAATAAGAAAGATATCGAACGTTTGAAAATGTTGATATTCATAATTACGAACTTAAGTGATCATTCTGTTTTTATCTTCTTTTTTGAGTTATACTTTAATTAATAACTTAATTACTGCCTTAGTACAATTAAAAATGTATATAATTAAAATTATATAATATATATTTCTAAGAAAATACATTTCTGTGGTTTGTATAATCCTCTAAATACAAGATCATAGTTTTCAGTACTTCAATCGATTTATGTAGAAAGTTAGCTTACAAAAACGATTTTTTCATAAGCTTCACTAATTATTTTTTTTTTATACGAAATACTTAGATAAATATATATCATCAAAGTGTATTACATTATTTTATGGCAACTAATATTTAAAATAATACATATTTAATATAACTGTAATATTATATAATAATACATCTAGAAGTATTATATTACTAATTGATATATATGTATAGAAATTATATAAAAAGAATCTTAATTCCTGGAAATAGTAATACCTAAGATAATTTTATAAAGACACTATTTCAAATAAGTTAATACAATAATTATGCTTGATTTTTTTTACATCTTCTTCTGCTACTGTTAAATGCAAAATTCAATTGTATTTATAACTCGACGACTACGTTATCATAATACATATAATATTTAATAACATATTTTCTTAACATCGTCTATACATTTCAATGTATAGATGGGATGCATAGAAGAATAAAATAAATATGACTAATTTAAGAATATATTAAATTTATAAGAAATATATTACACGAAACAATATAGACAGGGATATTGATTGAAACGTTTACTATAAAGCTCAAATTAATTTCTAATTGTTTGAAAAATCTTATAATGAGACATTAGCAAAGGCAGAAGAAGGCAAATGTATCACATCATAGAACTTTTCTGGTCTTTAAAATGTGTGCACAATGAAATCATGCAAAGCCTGTATCGCTGTTATTTTCATTCTACAATTTTTTTTTTCTCAAAGCAATCAATAAATTTATAATCGTTATAGTAGCAAATATCCGTTTTATATTCTCTCGTAGTATCCCATAATACATCATCGATCCAATATAGTCTATATAACATATTATATAGAATTCTTTGTATAGAATATTTTTAAAATTTATTCACACATTTGAAGTAGTGAATTTATAGTTATATCCTTTTTCCCTTGATTAACGTCGTATACTGATTTGATAACTTCTTTGTCAATATTTGGAAACATCTCCGCAAGCTGAAAAAATATACACAAAATTTATGATATAATATTGCGATATGCAAAGTGGTAAAAAAGATGATAAATTTAAGGTAAATAGTACTTCTCAAATTAAATAAAAAAATAAGTTCTAATAAACATGAGTTAACAAACCATTTATTTTAGTTAAAGAGGAAAAAATGGATTACATTATTATTTGTAGTGTTATGAAACGTGTATAAAATAAAAAGACACTTAAAAGATTGCTTTTATGCACCAGGGAAAAGTACTCGCATCAACAAAAATAAAAATTTATTCATAGAATTTAAAATATTGATTTTTTACCTATGTTTATTAGAACTATTTTCGTCATTCAGAGAATATTATCTATTACAGAAATCATAAACCCTTTTTTTTTATCACCCTTTATATTATATAAATTACCTGTTTTAATTCCACTTCAGCATTTGGTAGCAAACTTGGTACAACAGGTGGTGTTGCAATAGCTGATACTGGTTGAGGTGTGGTATATACATTAACAGGTGCATACGATGTCATACCAAACATCGTCGCAGAAGGTACCATCATTACAGGTCCAGGCATATAGGGAGGACATTTAGGCTAGAAAAAATAACGTTTTTCCATCTATTCCAATAAATGAGATAAAATTAAGTTTAATATTTTTTAATCGATGCTATCTATGTAAGTTTAAATATTTAAAAAAAACATTTACCATATAACTGAAAACTAAATTAATCATGCCTTCCAGGTTATCGCCTTGCTTGCCACTAAGCATATACCAATCTTCGTGTGTTTCATTATTTTGAAGAACTTTAGGTGGTATGTCTATATGACCCCATGCGATTAATTCATCCATTACGAAAGAACATTCATCGTATATTTCTATATATATTTGTGTAACTCCTGGTGGTAAAAAGCTATAAAATGTAATATAATATGTAATAAAATATGTTTCATTTATATTTCTAAATGATTTTATACAGTGTCTCTAAAGATTTTTCAGCCAAGCGGTGTAAGCATATTTTATGCACAAAAATAAGAAAAAATGTTCTACAAACATAGGTTGTTTAAAGCCTTATTCAAAAGTTATGATATAAATTGTAAATTACCTAATTTCTTGTTCAAAGTATCGAACACTTATGTGAATATAAATTTAACACTGCTGTAGGATGAAATTAACTTGTTTTACGTAATTATGAATGCACATTCGAAAATCCTGATTCATGTGGTATTCTTCTGCCAGAAAATTTGCATTAATATTTACAGTAGCTCTACTATTTTTGTCGCATGAATCATATAGGTAATGAATGTCCAAATATTTTTAGTTTACAAATACTTTTGACATTTCAATCAGTAGTATTCCAGAAAGGAACTTAAAGAGAATCAATATTGATTCATTGTCAGATTCGCTAAATAATTTAAATATAGTAAACATCATATATAAGCGTAAGAAAAAGTATACATAATTGATGAATTTTAAGAACCATCCTATTGCTGTATAAACGTGAACATTTTTAATTTAAATGATAACTTTTTATTAAAGCTTTAAATGACCTAAAACTTATCTAATATTGATTTCTTATTTTCGTGTATAGAATATACTAACACAGTTTAGCTGGAGAAACTTCAGACCTGTATAATAATAAAAAAAAAAAAAGAAAAAATTTATAACAACCATTGTATAATTTTATTCCAACGTGGATTTTTTCCTCCATTTGAATCTGTATGTGTTTCATAAATCGAATGGCCAACTCTTAACCTAACATATGGATCCATTCTTGTCATCCCATAATTTTTTACTAATTTTGCCTGTAATTTATAAATTTACTAATTTATATAAATATTTATCATAACATTATCTTTAAGTAATATAATTTAAACTTGTTATCTATTAATGTGATAACAATAATTTATAATAAAAAATATTTGAATCTGTTGTTAATGAAATCTAACCTGGGCAATTGTTATACTAAGTTTGCCCATACGTGGGTCAGGTAATACAGGAGTACTTTGCATCTGTAATTGATGCAAGGCCAATGCAGCCTGTTGATCGGCTGCTTCTTGTTGTTGCTGTGCATTACGATCTTCTAATTTCAGGAAACCTTGTGGAAGAGGACCAACAAAAGCCTAAAATCAAAATGAGGAAACAATATACATAGGTAATTTAAATAAACATAATTTTTCTATTACAGTTTAGAGTGTTTATATAATTTGTTACAACATGATAGGCAATGTCATTACAATTAATAAATGCATTAATTATTACTTGATATTAGAATACCAAAAGAATAAAAGAACAGTAATTCTATAAATTTAAAATTTAAGAAAATATTTAAATATATGTATATATAAATCTTTATTTTTTTAAATATTAATATTGTAGGTTAAAAAAATAATATATATTTTATTTATATTTATAATATCTCATTCTAGTAACATCTGCATATACCTAAATTGCAAATAAGGATCGGAGTAATTAATGACTCATAAGTAACAAGCATAAATACGTAAGTAGAAACGATGATTAATCCAAATAATTATAATTAAATTTATTCATTAAGCAAATAGTAGTGAATGTCGCTTACTCGTTTCTTCCAATTTTCATATAACTCTGCACGTGTATCAGTATCCATTACGATACAATTCAAGAGGTTAACACTTTGAGAAGATTACTTTTACGAATTCTTTATTTTTAAACGACCATTGCAAACATGAAAGAATAACAATCTGTCAAATCTTGCAACTCATACAGTCATAAAGACACATGTATTCATCGCTTGTAATACATTTGGGTGAGTTTTCAAAACGTAATAGAGCTCAAACTCGTTCATTGGTGGAATCAGAAAAACTAGGAAAAATTCATCCAATCAAAAATAGTCTAATGTGAACAATCAACCAATCATCATAGTGTTATAACCTTACAAATAAAAAAAAATGAAGACGTTTGTATTAAGTCGTATAATGAAAGCTAATTATGACGAATATTAAGTATGTATTTTATAGAGACTCTATAAGAGGGACGCGCCATGTATATTGCTGGGGGACAACAACTCGTGTAGTCACGTGATTGCGCGCGAAATATTCAAACATTGAAATAATTATGAAATAATGAATTGCATCAAATA